TGGTATAGGAAAATAAATTCCCACGTGAATGGAGAGCAAAAAAATGGGTGGCCCAAATTCGAAAGCCGCGCCACAGAGAAAGAGAGGAATTTACGCCTCATCAATAAAACAGTGGGTCGGCGGATGTCTTCTGAGTGCACACACCATGCCTAGTATCCACTGGGGCAGTAGTTTTATTTTATTTATTAACGTAGGCCTGACATACATTCATCTTCCTCTTGAAAGCATGCTCATTTTAATACATTTTGGGCAACGCCCGTTCGGGTCAATTCAATACTCATTTACTCAGCTCTTGTGGGTTGCGAGTTTGACTTCGTATGACAGAAGGTGTTTACTTGTGTGCTGGCTTTACGGTATTTCGCACTTTGAGCAAATATCTTTGATCCGATGTTTCTTACATGCTTTTCGATGGAGTCAGCCTCATCCACTGCCCGCATACGTTACTCGTTGACTTTTTGCCTACAATTCAGCTTAAATTAAAACTGCCCTCCCAGTGACCAGCATGAATCAGCATCAGTATATTTAAGATATATATAGGTAAATTGCCTTTGAGTTCCCTATTTGTACATATGTATCGTGGTACCAAAAAATAATATCTCACTTTGTTGGTGAGGCCAGTTGTCATGAACCATGAGGTGGTACACAGATTTTTGAGCAGACAGTGAAAAAAATTCCTTGGGATTTTTAAGGAGAAGAGCTGTCGCTCTTGCGGGGAGGGGAGGATCTGATGGGGTATAGGGTTTAGGAGAAAAAAACGTCCGGTCTTATAAGGGGGGCATTGCAGAGGTCACCGGGATCATCACTGAGTGCGGAAGATGCGGCCTGATACTTTCTTGCTGATTGCAAAGTCCACCGACAGGTTGGGAAAGCAGAAATATCTGCCCAGATCGTCGACAATCCGCTGCGGGTCAAACCGAGGGTGAGTGTTTAGGCCGCCAGGTTCGGCTGATGCGATCGCTGACGGGGTCATCACGGTACGCAGATAGCCAAATAGGGAAGACCGCAGATTCCTTCGCATGGGATTTCTGTTAGGAGAACCTAGTGATGTGAAAAAAAAGACATACAAATTTTACTTAAATATAGCTA